CAGTGGAAATACACTCAGCAACACAGATTATTTTCCTGGCCCAACAAGAGCCTCCTAAGCTGAAAAAGAATGTCCTTCCGGTTCAGCTCTGTCATATCTTGAATATTTTTGGAAGGTGCCACAGAAAGACTCATGTTGTACAATCATATCTTGTGATAAGCATAAAAATCTATAAGCAAAGTGGGCTCCTGTGGCTCATGCCTGTAATCCTAACTACTCAGGAGGCTGAGATCTGAGGATCACAGTTTGAAGCCATTCGAGCAGGAAAGTCCATGAGACTCTTATCTTTGATTAGGCAGCAAAATCCAGAAGTGGAGCTGTGGCTCAAGTGGTAGAGTACTAGCCTTGAGCAAAAAGGCTTAGGGACAGCCCCCAAGCCCTGAGTTCAAGTCCCAGGACTAGCACACACACAAAAAGATGTAGACATACACAAAACAAAATGGCAGCAGGCAACCACTTCTGATGAATATTTCTGCAAACTACTGTTTGAATGTATTTAACAAATATGTATCATGTTAGCATCATAGTGCCACATGCCCAAAATAACATACAGAGACAGTGTAGCTCTGGTTTCTGATGAGCGCTACAACTCCTGTTGGCACTATACTCGCTGAAGCTTCAAAAGGAAAAAAAATTAATTTCAAATTTCCTTAACTGTGTATAGGCCAGTGTAATAAATTATACTGCATGTATTGGTTTTGGCTAGCTTAATTGGAACAATGAAAATTTAGTACCGTAGGTGTTCCTGTACTTATATGAGGTTATTGAATACTCATGTGGTCCTAATTCTGTGAGAGAGTAGGAACTATTTCTGTTTGTTACAGAGGGTAGGAAAGTAGGCAGAGATTCTAATAGCTGTGGGCTAAATTCGCCAGCTCAGCAATATAAGCTTCCTTCCAAATGATTTCACGTTTCTTAATGACCTCTGCGGCACAGGAAAATAGTATATGCATTGTGTATATTCATATTAAAAGTCCACAGGATTGTACCTATTTGTCCTTCATGTAGACACACGTTCATGATTTTTTTTTTCTCCCCTATAGCGACTGGATGTTGGAAGGAAGTCTGGGCAAACTGGAAGGAGAAGAAAATAAACATCACCCTACTTCTGTGGAACTGACCCTCTCTGTGGCCTCCTATGTCTGTTCAAAGTTAATGACAGACTTGTGATTGTGTCTTTCTGGTGTTGTCAATGAAAAATATTTTCTCTGTGGAAAGTTTATCTCAGTGGCTATGGCTTTTACTCATTCTTTGGCTGTGATTTTTGTCCATTAAAAAACCCACAGGGTTGTCTTGCGTGCATGAGGCCCTGGGTTCAATTCCTCAGCACCACATAAGTGGAAAACATTGGAAGTGGCACTGTGGCTCAAGTGGTAGAGCGGTAGCCTTGAGCTGAAGAGCTGAGGGACAGTGCTGAGGCCCAGAGTTCAGGCCCCACGACCAACACCCCCCAAAAAAACCCACAGTGCCCCCCCCACAGGTTTTCATCCTTAGGAAGTCTCAGTGATAGCAGGAAAGGAGTATGGAAACATTTTGCAGAGCAATCTGTGATCATGACTGGAGAGTATACCTGTGTCTTTTCAGTTGTCCTGTTATGTGTCTAAACACTCAGTAAATAAATAATTGCCAATCAGTCTATAGGTACTGGGTCATCATGATGTCCTGTGTCTCATTGTGTTGATTCTTGTCTTGCCCCATCCTAATAGCTGAGATCTCATCCTGGCACGTTTTTCAATGGAATTCACTTATTCAGCATGTATTTACTGAGATGCTTGCTCTTGTCAGTCAACATCCTAGATGCCCATAACAGTATTGAAAGTTTACTTGGAGAACACTTCGACTCTAAGGGAAATAAATTGATAACCAAGATGAAACCTGGATCCAGTCAATGAGATGGAGTTACGTTATGATGTTCTCCACTCGAGGCCTGGGTATTATTGTTTGAAAAGTGCATCTGCCCTATGGAGTCATGACTAACTCTAATCACAAATTCTGATAACAACTCCTGGCAGAAAAAAAAGATGCACATTGGTTGGTGCCATATTATCCTTCCGCTCCAAAGGAAGAATAGGGTCAGGCATTTGATGGTCCAGTAGAACCATCAAAGACAATGACACTGTTTTATACATGTCAAATAGCTACCAGAGAGGATTTTGGTCTCACCACAAAACAAATGGTAACAAATGTTTGAGGTAAGGAGTATAGTGATGACACTGATTTGATCATGACAGTCTACCTAACAGTCACATGAATTGAAATAGCACAATGAACCATGTACATATGTATAACTTATATGTCAATTGAAAGGATGTTTAAGCCGGATCCTCAGGAGGCTGAGATCTGAGGATTATGATCCAAAGTCAGCTGAGGATGGAATGTCTGTGAGACTCTTTATCTTCAATTAGCCACCAAAAAGCTGAAAGCAGGGCCTGTGGCTCAAGTACTAAAACTAGCTTTGAGCACAAAAGGCCAGGGGTAGTATCCAGGCACTGAGTTCAAGACCCAAGGCTGGCACACACACACACACACACACACACACACACACACATAAAAGTGTCAATTAAAAAAGCTCAAGCCCCCCCCCCCATATCCCAAACCCTAATTAGCTCACTGAACTGTTAACAAATCCTGTTTGTCAAATTTGGGAATATGTAAATGAGCAGCAAGTTCCTACAGTCCCTTTTGTCAAAGGACTGATACTTTGTCCACTGAAGCTGTCAACTTCCTTCCCAGAGAAGACAGTCTTGTGTTCTCCCAAGGAAAGTGTAGAATTTGCATATTTTAAGCATTAAGCCCATATAATAAAATAATAAAATATGGCCTATTTTAAAAGAGAAAAATCTTGATACAACATAAGAGGTTGAATCTAAATGTATTATTACTTACAATAAAAATAAGGTGTCAGCTGGGAGCTGATGGCTCGTGCTTGTAATACTTGTTACTAGGAGGCTGAGATCCAAGGATCGAGCTAGCTGGGGCAAAAAAAAAAAAAAAAAAAAATCTGCGAGACTCTATCTTCTGCGAGACTCTATCTCCAAAGACACCAGGAAGTGGTGGTGTAGCTCAAATGGTAGCACCAGTCTGGAGCTAGCAAGAGTGTGAAGCCCTGAGTCCTGGGCCCCCGAGTCCCAGCCCCCCCCCCCCCCACACACAAACACAATCACCGCTCCTACTGAAAGTCTGCGGCATGCCACCTCGTGGTCAGTTCCGTACTACATCTCCCTGGCCTAGTGTACACACACACACACACACACACACACACACACAGGATCACAGCTCCCACTGAAAATCTGCAGCATGCCACCTCGTTGTCACTTCTGTACTACATCTCCCTGGTCCAGTGTACACACACACACACACACACACACACACACACACACACACGATCACAGCTCCTACTGAAAGTCGCGGCATGCCACCTCGTGGTCACTTCTGTACTACATCTCTCTGGACCAGTGAACACACACACACACACACACACACACACATGATCACAGCTCTTACTGAAAGTCTGCAGCATGCCACCTCATGGTCACTTCTGTACTACATCTCCCTGGCCCAGTGAACACACACACACACACACACACACACACACACACACACACACACACACGATCACAGCTCCTACTGAAAGTCTGCAGCATGCCACCTCGTGGTCACTTCTGTACTACAGCTCCCTGGCCCAGTGAACACACACACACACACACACACACACACACACACACACACACACGATCACAGCTCCTACTGAAAGTCTGCGGCATGCCACCTCGTGGTCACTTCTGTACTACATCTCCCTGGCCCAGTGAACACACACACACACACACACACACACACACACACGATCACAGCTCCTACTGAAAGTCTGCAGCATGCCACCTCGTGGTCACTTCTGTACTACAGCTCCCTGGCCCAGTGAACATACACACACACACACACACACACACACACACACACACACACGATCACAGCTCCTACTGAAAGTCTGCAGCATGCCACCTCGTGGTCACTTCTGTACTACATCTCCCTGGCCCAGTGAACACACACACACACACACACACACACACACACACGATCACAGCTCCTACTGAAAGTCTGCGGTATGCCACCTCGTGGTCACTTCTGTACTACATCTCCCTGGCCCCGTGTACACACACACACACACACACACACACACACACACACACACACACACGATCACAGCTCCTACTGAAAGTCTGCGGTATGCCACCTCGTGGTCACTTCTGTACTACATCTCCTATTGACATCAGTCCTAACGAGAGCTGCACCTATTGACAGGAGTCCAGGCATCCACTAGTAAAGAAAGAGATGGGAGCCGGGCGCCGGTGGCTCACACCTGTAATCCTAGCTACTTAGGAGGCTGAGATCTGAGGATCGTAGTTCACAGCCAGCCCAGGTAGGAAAGTCCGTGAGACTCTGATCTCCAATAAACCACTAGAAAACCGGAAGTGGTGCTGTGGCTCAAGCGGGAGCGCTCGCCTTGAGCTGAAGAGCTCTGGGACAGCGCCCGGGTCCAGAGTTCAAGACATGGGGGGTGGAACTGTAAGTCCTGCACGGACACACGGCTGAGGCCGGGGCAGGACTCGGGACCGGGTGGGTGACCTTGTGTCAAGCAGTCTTGAACGGCTCCTAATTTAAATGCACCAACTTCTCTGCCCGGGTCTTGGTGCAGAGGGCGGGCAGGGCAGTCGGCTCACGCAGGTGTGTGCAACAGGACTTTTCTCGGAACTCTGACCACTTCCTTCTTTCACTTCGGAGCATTTGAAAAGCTCGAGCCCAAGATGCGCTTTACACTTCACGCAGAACCACCGGGACTGGGCAGGTCCACGTCTCCCAGGCTGTACCACGCAGGCGCCCACAGCCCAGGACCCGCCCCTCCCCAGCCCCGCCCACAGCCCCACCCCTTGCATCACGCCACGCCCCCACGCGCGCCAGCCGGCTCGGCGCGGGCTGGAATACGTCACAGCGCGCAGGCGCATTTGGGGACCCGCGCTTTTCGGACGTAGCCGGCGGTGCGGCCAGCTGCAGGTGTGCGGTGAGAGTCGCGGCGTTGTGCGGGACGCCGTTGGCCCGCGCGGCGCCCAGGGCGGGGGGACGCGACTATCGGGCGGGCTCGGCGTCGGCGCGGGGAGGCGAACGGGGTGGGGGGCGCAGGTGGTCCCCGCAGGGTCCCCGCAGGCCGGAGCACGTTCGGCCGAGCCCAGGCCCCGCCGGCGGCGGGCCGAGCGACCCTGGGTCTGTGGCTGACAGGTTCGGGGACAGCTGACTGGAGCCAGCGCCGTGGGAGAACCGGAACCGCTTACTGCGGAAAGCGACTGGTTCTGAAGCGAGAGCTGCTTGGCTCACGGTTTGTACTGACAAAGGCTGAGGTCCAGAGGGATGGCGGCCCCGAACCATGGCGGGGCAAACCAAAGGCCCTAATAAGACTCCATCTCCTATTAACTTAGCAAGAAGCTGGTCTTGAGGTGGGTCGCAACTGGTAGATCGCCAAGCAGAGCCAGCAAGTCAAGCAAGCACAGGGCCTGAAGCTCAAGCACAGAAGTAGTACACACGGAGTGAGCATCCCTACTTTGAAACCTGACATGCTGCCAACCTGCCAGCGTCAGGAACTAGCCGAACACTGTACGCGTGACATCACGAGGAGAGACCTCGACAGGTTTCCCATCTAGTTATTTAAGGTATTCTGTAAAAAGCAACCTTCAGGTTACAGGGAGGATGTATATAAACCACTAACAAGTTTCACGGTTCAAGTCCCCCTTTCATAAGATACCTCAGAGACAGACAGATGATGTAGGTAGATAATTATCTGGAAATCCAAAACACTCTGGCCCCAAACATTTGGGGTCAGAGATACTCAGCCTGTAGTATGAGATGCATTCTGCTGATGTGGCATACACAGTTCCTGAGGTATGAAACTAGTGTTTCATGGGGAACTTTTGAGTGCTTGTAGAGTGTTGTGTTTCTGCACTCCTTTTATAGGTAGAAACAGACAGATGAAGAGAGCTATCCAAGCTGAGTATGGTGGTCCCTTTCTGTAATCACAGGCAGGAGGAGGAGGTAGAAAGATTGAGGAGAAATGATAGTAGACCCTGCCTGAAAAAATAAACACGACTCTGGGCTTGGTTCTATTGGTAGAGCATTCAAGTGCCCTGCATTCAAGGCCTAGTAATATCAAAAGGAAAAAGGAAACATCTACTGACTGGCAGATAATGGACCCAGGATCTAAACACAGACCACCTGCCTTCAGATCCATGTCCTTTTAATTCCTGTGCTGTTTGGGAAGCAGAGCTCTGTGGAAGGCCTGTCCAGTATGGTACATGATAGAAGCTGTGCTAGCACTTTAATAGGTTATTCTTTTATTATTTTTGTGCTAGTCCTGCGGCTTGAACTCAGGGCCTGAGCACACTGTCCCCAAGCTTTTGTTGCTTAAGGCTTAGAGTTCTACTGCTTGAGCTACAGCTCCACTTCTGGCTTTTTGCTGATTAACTAGAGATAAGAGTCTCACAGCCTTTTCCACACAGGTTGACTTTAAACCATGATCCTCAGATCTTAGCCTCCTGAGTACCTAGGATTACAGGAGTAAGACATGGTACCTAGTTTAGCTTATTTTTAGTGAATCCCATATTCTAGGTACTGGGAGAATAGAAATGTCATGGAAATACAATTCTGACTTGAAATCACCTAACCAGTAAACAAGAGAACTATAATCTTAAAATTTTTTAAAAATCTATTAAAGTAAGAAATGTAGTTGCTGCATATCAATGCTAATTAACTACAATTTTTAGATCTTGGAAAGGCCATAAAGGTTCACTTTAGTTGCAAATGGTAAGCAGGACAGTACTTATGCTGTTTTGCAGCATTGGGCAGTATCCTTATCTGTAGTTGGATGAATGACGGAGTTGAAAGGAAGAGGATAGACCTTGAAGATACATATTGAAGAAAAAGGCAGTGGAAGGGAAAAAGGTGTTTCCTGAGAATAATGACTTTAACTGCCCTCTTAGAGACATCCCAAGACTACGGATGATAAACTGTAATGAGGTCATGGAGAAGATGAGTCATGATTATAGCGACTGTAGAAGTTAGTGATAGATATTTTCCTCTTTCAATTACTTGATTCCAGTGTTGTATAACATATATTAGAATACTATTGAGTGCCAGTGGCTCATACATGTAATCCTAGTTACTTTCAGGAGGCTGAGATCTTAGGATCACGATTTAAAGCCAGCCTAAAAGTTAAAATTAGGGAGTAGAATAAACTGTCCTTTTTTTTTTTTTTTTTGACTAGTCCTGGGGCTTGAACTCAGGGCCTGGGCACTGCCTTTGACTGGTTTATTTAGCTTTATAGCATTGGATGAATTGCAGTCTCACTGAACTTTAACCTTTATTATTACTATCATCTTTTTGAGACAGTCTTGCTTGAATGGCCTCAGATTTGTAATTCTACTTTTACTGCTGAGTTGAGTGCTATGATTGTAGGTATGGGCTAATGCAACTGCTATTAAAAAAAATTAAACAATGCAAAATCTCAGACCCATATATACCTCTTTATAAATAACAAATGCTTTGTGAGACATTGTTTGGCGTTTACGGTGAATTAGACATGGCTCTTGGTGGAAAGAATTTTTTTTTTTTTGGGTCCGGTAGTGGGGCCTCATCTCTGGGCCTGGGCACTGTCCCTCAGCTCTTCAGCTCAAGGCTAGTGCTCTACCACTTGAGCCACAGCGCCATTTCCGGCTTTTTTCTTTTTGCTTATGTGGTGCTGAGGAATCGAACCCAGGGCCTTGAGCATGCAAGGCAAGTGCTCTACCACTGAGCCACCTTCCCAGCCCTTGGTGGAAAGAATTTATTAAGCTGACTTCCAGATAATTTAGAAGATAAATTAAAAATACACAAATTCTTAACCTTCTGCTTCATTGCAATACTCTTAGGAAACAAAAAAGGTTTCTTAAAATTTTTTATTGCTTGCCGGATACACATGGCTTGTACCTGTAATCCTAGCTACTTATGAGGCTGAGATCTGAGGATTGTGGTTAAAGCACAGAAAAGCTATGATACTTATCTCTAGTTAGCCACCAAAAAGCTGGAAGTGGAGTTGTGGTTCAAGTGGTAAAATACCAGCCTTGAAAGAAAAAGCCAACTGAGAGCTTGAGGTCCTGAGTTCAAGTCCCAGTACCAGCTCACAAATGCGCACGCGCACACACACATTACTATGACTTTGTTGGTAAATTGTACAGTTCCAAGAGCATGATGTGTTAATCTACATTCAGATGTATTCTACATTCAGAATCACATGATTCTGTTCAAATACAGGTTAATGTAGAGAGACTTAATGACAATAACCTGAGAGGAGTCTAAGGGACAAGCACTTTACTAGTAGATTGTTTGGTTTATTTTCTCTCATGTTCCTTGTGTTTTAGCAGTGTCAGTTCTTAATACTTTATATGAAATTGGGAAATAGTGAAAGATACTGTATTATCCTGTTTTTAGTGCTGTGCATTGGCCTCTGAAGTGATTAAATATTTCATGGTGCTCAGTTATGATTCTGCAGCTCAATCTGTGACCTTTGCTAGGTATCAAAGAACATTGCGGATATGGTGAAGGACACAGAACCTGGGATGAAACTGGACACTTGACTTCTGGTATCATTTATAACCAGCTGTGTGACCTGCAATAAGTTTCTTAATCTCTGCCTCATTTTTACATTTTCCTAGTAGTGATAACATTAGTAGTTTTCTGGTTATTTTTGTATTAATTACCTGATTTGATTCTTACAAAAGTCTCTTACTTGATAGATGAGAAAACCAAAGGCCCACGTATAGTAGATGGCTGGTTTGGGAGTATTCATCTAAATTTTCTTAGAAACTTGACATAAACTGGTTTGTGTGTCTGTACTTGCAGCTTTTTTCCATATTGCCTTTCTTTTGCTAGTTTATTAAAAATTCTACCTATGTAAGACTTCTGGATCATTTTGTTTGCCGTGGTGATTATTATGTAGCTAAACAACACCTAAAAAAAAAAAGATGAGATGAGTGGATCCAAAGAATGTGGTACCTATACACACAATGGAATTTTACATAGCCATTAGAAAGGATAATACTATGCCATTTTTAGGGAAATGGATGGACCTAGAACAAATCATGTTAAGTGAGTAAGCCAAACTTAGAAATGCAAATGACACATGTTTTTCCTTACATGCAGAAACTAGATCTAAAATACACTGGAACATGATAAGTTATACAAGACATACATAGTGAGACCAGAGGAGGATGTTCTTAAAACAGGAACACAAAGGCACAATGCTATGTGCATCTGATTGTAAAAATAATATTTTTCAAAATGAACTTTAAGAAATGGAAATAAGGTTTTTTTTTTGTTGTTGTTTTTGGTCTTGGGGCTTGAACTCTGGGCCTGAGTGCTGTCCCTCAACTCTTCAGCTCAAGGCTAGCACTCTACCACTTGAGCTACAGCACCACTTCTGGTTTTCTGGGTGGCTTATTGGAGATAAGAGTTTCACAGACTTTCTTGCCCGAGTTGGCTTTGAACCATGATCCTCAGATCTCAGCCTCCTGAGAGACTAGGATTATAGGCGTGAGCCACTGGTGCCTGCCTAGGATTTTTAGTTGAAAAAAAAAAAAAAAAGAGATGTGCTGTTAAGCCAATATCAATTTGTCTCTATGTCTTGAATGCGTGAAGTCTAATTAAGTAAATATTATAATGTGTCCTTAGGACTTTCACCTTATAAATAAATCCAGTTTACCTTTCTTAGCAGAACTTTCTGAACTATATTTAAAATATTGTCTTTTTGTCCTAGATGCTGACTGCTCTTCAGTTTGGTCATTTGTTGTAGAACCTTCAACATGCAGACCTCTAGCTCTAGGTCTGTGCATCTGAGTGAATGGCAGAAGAATTACTTTGTAGTTACATCAGGCACTTGTACCTCAAAAGAGAAGGCAGATGCATACCGTGCACAGGTGCTGCGCATTCAGTATGCCTGGGCGAACTCTGAGATCTCCCAGGTCTGTGCTACCAAACTGTTCAAAAGGTATGCCGAGAAATATTCTGCAATTATTGATTCTGACAATGCTGAAACTGGCCTGAATAACTATGCAGAAAACATCTTAGCTTTGGCAAGGTCTCAGCAGACTGACAGTGAGAAATGGCAGTCTGGATTGTCGGTAAGTAATATTTTCAAAATGGCAGGTGTACAGAAGATGATGCAAGCAGGCAAGAAAATGAAGGACTCTCTTTTGGACCCTGCTGAGGCCTCAGTAGTACTCCGTAAGGAGGCTCCTGTCTTTGATCTTCCCAAGTTTAGTGTTTGTAGAGGTTCTGGAGAAGGTGACTTGTTAGCCAGCTCAAGTCATGACAGAGATTGGACCCAAGACAGTGCAGGGAGCAACCTTGGATATATCCAGCCTCAGAATGCACCGCTGTCCAACACCACTAAGACTTGTCCTGCCTCCTCGGTGTCTCTCCTCGGTGAGTCAGCCCCTGCACGATTCCACACCACACCATTATTCAGAAACACGAAAAAGGAAAATCACAGCTCTCCTAAAGCCAATGTAGGACTAAATATGTTCTTACCTAATCAGTCTTTCTATGGTTCTGGTACCACTGATGCCTTCTCTAATCCACCACTGAATAAGGTTATTAGTAAAACAGAAGATAATGGCCAACGGGAGGATGGCAGCTTGTCTACCTTCAAAACTGCCAAAGAACAATTATGGATTGATCAGCAAAAAAAGTACCACCAACCCCAGCATGCATCTGGGTCTTCATATGGTGGTGTAAAAAAGTCTCTGGGAGCAGGTAGGTCTCGAGGGATTTTTGGGAAGTTTGTACCTCCTGTACCTAAGCCAGATGGGGGAGAGCAGAATGGAGTGATGCAATACAGGCCTAATGGGGCAGGACCTTCAGAGCCAGCACATCCTGTGGATGAGCGTCTCAAGAACTTGGAGCCAAAGATGATTGAACTTATTATGAGTGAGATTATGGATCGTGGTCCTCCAGTACACTGGGAAGACATTGCAGGAGTAGAATTTGCCAAAGCCACAATTAAGGAAATAGTTGTGTGGCCCATGATGAGACCAGACATCTTTACTGGATTGCGTGGACCCCCAAAAGGCATTCTTCTCTTTGGTCCTCCTGGGACTGGTAAAACTCTAATTGGCAAGTGCATCGCTAGTCAGTCTGGGGCAACATTCTTTAGCATCTCCGCTTCATCCTTGACGTCTAAATGGGTAGGTGAGGGGGAGAAAATGGTCCGTGCATTGTTTGCTGTTGCCAGGTGTCAGCAACCAGCTGTGATATTTATTGATGAAATTGATTCCCTATTATCTCAAAGAGGAGATGGTGAACATGAATCTTCCAGAAGGATAAAAACAGAATTTTTAGTTCAGCTAGATGGAGCAACCACATCTTCTGAAGATCGAATCCTAGTGGTGGGAGCAACGAATCGGCCACAAGAGATTGATGAGGCTGCCCGGAGAAGACTGGTGAAAAGGCTTTACATTCCCCTACCGGAAGCTTCAGCCAGGAAACAGATAGTAACCAGCCTGATGTCCAAGGAGCAGTGTTGCCTCAGTGAGGATGAAGTCGAAAAGGTGGTCCAGCAGTCGGAAGGGTTCTCTGGAGCAGACATGACCCAGCTTTGCCGGGAGGCTTCTCTGGGTCCCATTCGCAGTTTGCACATGGCTGACATTGCTACCATAACACCAGATCAAGTTCGACCTATAGCTTACGTTGATTTTGAAAATGCTTTTAGAACTGTGCGCCCTAGTGTGTCTCCAAATGATCTAGAGGTTTATGAAAACTGGAACAAAACATTCGGTTGTGGAAAGTGAATGAGGCACTAAAAATATGGTGTTTCCTTTCTTTAACTTAGGAAACTAGGGCTGTGTTAGTAGCCATTTTTGAAACCTATTCTGAATTCTATACCTCAAACAACAGTTGTTCAAAATTTAACAACTGTTTGATGTATCTTAATATGTTGGATTTGACTTCTAGTTATGTGATCATAAGCCTATTTAAATTCAGAGAAAATGAACTCTTTTTCTAAAAAGTGTTTCATTTGAAGAGGTTTAATATGAACTGTAAGCTGTGTTGAAGCTTTGGTCTGAAGGTTATGCTTAAATATGAGGAAATCCTAATTTATGTTAATATTTACTGAAAAAGTTACAAAGTTCTTAGTGTTGGCCAATATAATGGTTTAGAAAGCATTTTTTTGTTGTTGTTTAGATGATAAAAGATCTCACCAAAGCTAGAGTGAAAGTGCTAGTTTTTACTTTCTGATTGGTAGCTTCTTGTGGTTCATTCTTACTCTAATAAAATTTGTGTTTAGAAGTAGCAAAGTGTGGAAGTGGCACTGTGACTCAAGTGGTAGAGTGCTCGCCTTGAGCTGAAGAGTACAGGAACAGCGCCCAAGCCCAGAGTTCAAGTCCCAAGACCGACAAAAAAAAAAAAGAAGCAGCAAAGTGTAATTCAGGGTTGAAGACATATCCATACATTCAAAGGTAAAGAATGTTTTTCAGCTGGTTGCTGGTGACTCATGCCTGTAATTCTAGCTACTCAGGAGGCTGAGATCTGAGGATCATGGCTTGCAGCCAGCCTGGGCAGAAAACTCTGTAAGACTCTTATCACCAATATACTACTCAGAAAAATCCGTAATGGAGCTGTGGCTCAAAACGGTAGAGTGCTAGCCTTGAGCACAAAAGCTCAGGGATAGTTCCTAGATCCTGAGTTCTAGCCCAGGGCCAACAACAACAACAAAAGAATGGTTTTTCAAGATGTATGCGATGTTTGGTATTTTGACATTGATACTACTGTCTATAAAAATTATATTCATATTTTATAGTGGGTCATCTTGTTTTATAATTAATATCTATTGTAGAAATTTTAGAAAACAGAAATAAAAAGCACTTTAAATTACCACTTGGAGACATGTTATTTCAGCATACCTTATTTTTAGATATTTTATACAGGAGAAAGACTACTATGTATTCTCCTGCAGTCTGCTCTTTTTTTGCATAAATGATAATAAAGTAATAAGATGCAAATATACCATTTGTATGATCACTTATAGAATTAATTAGCTAGGAGTCTATTGTATGGATGGCTAATAGATGAATGTTGTTAGATAGCATTTAGAATAGAACATTAGGTTATCTTTTGCTTATGCCAAACAAAAAGATGTTTAATTATATTTAGTGATTTTTAGAAGTACATGTATATGTGAATTCTTGAGAGTAAAGAATGTTTAAAGCTTGGTATGTTTTCTCAGTTGTCTTCTAGACAGTTTGGATTCTATGTTTTCTAGCTGGCAGAATCTAAAGAACTGTTTATTTGTACCATAGCAGCCTTGGGTGGTAGGCCATTCTGTTTTGTTAGCATTCTTCTTTCTTTTTTTTTTCTTCAGTACTAGGGATTGAACTCAGGTTCTTGTACTTGCTAGAGAGGCGCCTAGGGAGACAGTGTGCAAAGGCACATTCCCCAGCCTTATTATGCACTTATTATTTTTCAAATAGGGGCTCGCTTTTTACAAGGACAGTGATCCTTGTAGTGACACCTCCTGTGCAGGTGCACTCTGCTTTTAGCATGCACCCACCCCGTTGAGATCGGAGGTCTCATGAACATCTTACCTAAACTAGCTCAAACTGTGATCCTTCCAATCTCAACCTGAGTAGCTGGGATTACAGGTGTGAACCACTGTACCCAACTGCCAGTATTCTTTTTTCATTCATTCATTCATTCATTCACTCATGCACTTATTTAATACTGAATTTGAGCAGTGAACCACGCAGACGTGTTTCCTTGCTTCATGGAGGTTGCATTCAAGTTCTGATGTTTTCTTTTATGAACATGACAACTTGTAAGTAAGATTTGAAGTACTTTAGTAGGTGAGTTTAGATGTATTTGTGGAGTTGTATTGTTTAAATATACTTGATCTGCCTTCTATCTTAATACTGTTCTAAAAGCTTAATTGCAACTTTCAGTGTGTCCCTTTGATGTATGATTGTCTTTTATTAGATTATAATTGCATGTTAAACTTTAGTTCTTATATATTTTTTTCTAACAACCTAAAATGTAATGTTTAATACTTTGTTCCTGTCCATTTTATATTTAATCATTACAATCTCTGATTTATAGGTGTTGATGTTAAGGATTTCTCCCTAGTTGTTCTTGCCTGGAAGTTATTCATTCATGTTTCAGATCCTCCAGCCCCCTTAGATGTTACAGTTATTTTGCTGATTCAGATTTGTCAACAATTGCCCACTCAGTGTTAGAGTATTATTTAACCTGTAACCTAGTCTTAATGTTAGCAGTTAATTTCAACTGCAGCTTCCGCCTGTCTGACTTTCAGCATCATTGAACACTAACCACAGGGCTACTTCCCCAGTACAGCTTAGTTTAGATTATGTCCATGAGAGAAGTCTCATTGGTTCATCTCATTATGGATTGAGTACAGTGCATTTCTGTGGTAATTATGTGGTATGCATACTCCCCTAGAAGCAAGTTCTGCTCTACTAATGGAGAATCTAAACTTAAAAAGAATATCTGAGCTACGCCACATAGAAGCAGTTGACTCAGCCTTTTGAGTATGTTGACAAAGAAGGTATGTCAGATTCCTTTTTTCTGCATAAAATGGTCAGGATAGGACAGCATAATTTTGCATTAAATTCTCTTCTGAGTGTTGGCACTACAACACCTCTAAAGCATTATTTCAGAGAAGTGACTTACTTTTTTAAAAGTATGTTTCCAACTGGGTGCAGTTCTGGAGGTAGAGATCTGGAGAACTGAAATTTGAGACCAGAAAAAAGCTAGTGAGACCCCATTTAAACAAATAAGCTTCAAGTATTGACACGTGTTATCCTTTCTGTATTAGAGACATAGGTAAGAGGATTGTAATCTAAGATCAGCTTAGGGCAAAAACGTAAGACCTTATAGGAAAACTTGAAGCAAAAAAGGGCTGGGGGAAGGTGGTTTAAGTAGTAGATAGCTTCTAGCAAGCATCAGGCCTGGAGTTGAAATCCTAGTACAGCCCCAAATATAAAAGGTTTCCTTTTGTAAAAATACATATCAACACATGTCATTGATTGTGGTATTAATGCTTAAAACTTAGTTAGATTATAGGCTCAAGCCTATAATCCTAGCTATTCAAGAGGCTGAGACCTGAGGATTGAGGTTGGAAGCCAGCCCAGGCAGACAAATTCATGAGATTTATCTCCAATTAACCAAAAAGCTGTGGCTTATAGAGTACCAGCTGTGAGCAGCAAAAGCTGAGCAAGAACTCATGGACCTAAGTTGAAGCTCCTAACACCAGCCAACAAAACAACAAAAACTTAAAACTTTTGTTAAGACTATGGTAATTTATTAGAATTTATAATGTTAGACTATTTACTTTCTTTTTTGGTCACCAGCACCTGGCTGGTTTCAGGGTTTTTAATACTTGGAAAATAATTCATTCCTTAATATCCTTAAATCCCCTTTTAATCCATATAACCTTTTATTTTTAAGTGAAAAATATAAAATTACATGTGTTAATGTAATACCATGTAATATCATATTTGTATGCCTTGTGCATTGTTTAAAAAGATTGGTTCAAATATCTGTCATTCCTTTACAATAAAAACATTCAGTATCTTTTTATCTAGCTTCCCCTCTCCCCCGGTTCTGTGCAATGAATTCTGGACCTGTGTGCTGTCCCTAAGCTCCTTTTGCTCAAGGCTAGCACTCAATAACATAGTTCCCATGGTTTCCCTTATTTGCAATAACTAGTATATGTCTGAGACAAGCACAGAAGGTCAGATAAGATGATGTTAGGCAAAATGAATCCCAAGATAAGGACACAAGTGGTTTTTTCTTTCTTGCTATTGTTTCTAATGTAATTATAGGGTGATTTTTTTTGTTGTTGTTGCTTTGTATGACCATTTGAGCTACTGAACCACTTCTTGCTTTTTCTGAGATAAATTGGAGATAAGAGTCTCGTGGACTTTCCTGCTGTGCTCTGCTTCAACCCATGATCCTCACTTCTCAGCCTCTGGAGTAGATAAGATTACAGGTGCAAGCATCTAGCACCTGGCTTATCTAGGTTTTTAATGTATGCATAGGTATGGTGTATACTCTTTCTGCCGTGCATGGACACACCAGAGCTTCCATTTTCCTGTTTAAGGAACTTGATATCCATTGGGAAAGCCTTTCCTGTCTTTTTCCTCTTTCATACTTCTCTCCTAATCCTCTAGTATTGACTAGTCTCCATTCCTGTGAGACCAACATTTTTACATTCCACATATGAATGAGATCGTGTGGTAACTGTCTTTTGGTGCCTGGCTTATTTCACTTAAGGATCTCCACTTCCATCCATGTGGATTTCACTTATTTTTCCTGTGCATAGGATGAACCTTGATTAGATCTACCCTCTTCATCACTCTCCCTTTTCCTAATACCCCTTTTTCTATTTCAATTTCCTTTTTTTTTTTGGTCGATTGTGGGGCTTGAACTCTGGCCTGGGCACTGTCCCTCAGCTCTTCAGCTCAAGGCTAGTGCTCTACTGCTTGAGCCACAGTGCCACTTCTGGTTTTCTTGTGGTTAATTGGAGATAGGAGTTTCACAGACTTTCCTGCCGGATCTGGCTTTGAACCGTGATCCTCAGATCTCAGCCTCCTGAGTAGCTAGGATTACAGGCGTGAGCCACTGGTATCTGGCTAGAGCCTCATGTTCTTGCTTGGCTCTTTTGCTCTCATGACTGGTGATCTACCACTTGAGCTGCACCTGCACTTCTGCCTTTTTGCTGGTTAACTTAAAATACAGAATTTTTAAAGGCCTGGTTTTCTCAGGAGAGTGAGATCTGAAGATTGTGTTTGGCAGCCAGCCCAGAAAGGAGGATCCATGAGACTCGCCTCTGATCAACCACTGAAAAGCCAGAGATGGAACTGTGGCTCAA